ATAATTGTCATATATGCATTTGTTTACAGTGCGTTCCATTGTTTTATAAATTGATATAAATAATAATATAATATTATTAATTATTATTATTATTATACAGTAATTCACAGTTAAATGCTTTCCGCTCTAGTGCATTCTATTTTTAATTGTGTTAAATTTGCTAGTTAAATGTGCTTTTGGAATAATTTCGTAAACATAACGAGTCTTTTTATGGACATATTTATCCGTTTAATAGTAAAAACTAATTAAATCGTCATTGTTTTTTAAAAATTTAAAAAAATAATCTAAGTACAATTTGTGATTACATAGTCTTGGTATAACAAACCAACTATTATTCTCCTTTTCGAAGCAAATACAAGAAAAGCCAAAATAGGGTATTTCCACAATGTCCTATTGCCCAAGTTTTCCAAACAACAACCGTAAGGAATTGGGTAAAAATGCATGTAATTATTTTGCATTATCAATAGTTTTTCTCTAATTTCCAAGCCAATGAAATAATTATGAGTTTATATATAAATCAACGTTGAAGATATCAGCGACGATAAAAAGAAAACAAGAAGCACTAGTACCAGCTACCAGCAGCAGTAAACAAAAACAAAAACAAAGCAGTGAAATTGTATGTGAAATTGTGTGAAAGCAACAACAACAATAAGAGAGCAGCATTCAACATTCGCCACTCAGCACAAAAAGTAAAAAAACAAAAATAAACACAACACTATCAGCTTGTCAAATTTTGAATTACGAGCGCCTTTAGTTAGAATAGGAAGTGGAAAAACAAAAAGCAGCAAATTGAAAGAAACAACAAAAACGTGAAAACTAAATAAATTCGTTGTTATATTTTGATTGTTGTGTGAGGAGAGCCTTCACTGTGGAATAAAATTCAATTTATTCACTATTCACATCGGAACTGTAGCACAAAGCGTAAGAGCGCACACTGCGCGGCATTGGATTAAGCGAATTCAGGCAATAATAAATTCACAAAAAGCACATTATATTAAAGGAGGAACACGTTTGCAACGCCAAACAAATTTTTTTATGGATATTCATGAATAAATAAAAACAAGTGAAACATTTAATATTCATTTAAATAACCAACAAATCAAGTCAATTCAAAATTAATTTAATAAAATCATTCGAACAAAAAATAAAAAAAAAAACAAAATAAAATGACGCAGAGTGAGGATTCAAATATCAAACAAGACGTTATAATTCCGATTGTGGTTATTGTGTCGCTTTTTGTTCTAAATGCGATAATCTTTTATTTCATAATGAAGCAACGAAAACGCTTGCCAAAGGATGAAGATTTTGGAAATTGTGCTTCAGGTGACATCGAACTGGAACAGTTGAGCTGAGCTGAGACACAACTCTATGCATTTTTAGAACATTTTCTTTGTTTTTTTTTTCTGAAACGCTTTGACAATTTGGAGTTGCTTCATCAGCACAGGAGGAACAAGAGTTACAAATGCCGCACATACCAAACAAAAAAAAACAATTTTCATTTAGAAAAGAACTGAACTGCCCAAATATTAAATAATTTTACAAATGTTACTAATGTTTTTAAAATAAATATAAAATATTGTTATAAAATCAAATTATAATTGAAATCTAATTATAATGTTTTTGTTAATGAAAAAAAAATATATATATAATAATAAAACACATGTTAATTGTCTAAATTTATAAAAATGCTAACAGTGTGCGAACATTTTATTTATTTACTTCTTTGTTTTTTTGGAAAAATCGATAAATTGTACATAAAAGAAAAGTAACACAAATTACATGCTCACTACGACGAGGGATTCTTCATATTTTTACTTTAATAGAATAAAAGCTTCATAAATGAAGCAAACACTGCATGTGTCTGTCTAAAGGCGAACAAAACTATTTTTAGTTTGTTATTTAACATTTCATGGAGATTGTTCTTTCTATACTCTGGAACTTGGATCTTTGGAATTACTTATCGCTACTAACACAAATTGGTCTGTGCTTGTTTGATATCTTCAACTAACCAAACCATGCGATGCATTCAAATTGTTGCAGCGTACAGTGAACGCTACAGAGAATTCTGCGGGTAAATTTGTTTCTGGCATTTATGGTTTTTATCATTATTGTTTGCTTTGTATTGTAATCAGTCGATTGTTTGGGAAATTTTCCTTAATTTAGGATGTCAATAATAGTGTGTTATTATATGTAACATAATTTAGAATTCGTAACAGTTGTTAATAATATGTGTAACAGATTTTATAGTTAATTTTTATATAGACAATTTAGTATCCGTAACAATAATATGTGTAGTATAGGGCAATATTTTTAAGAGACACTTAATTTAGGATCGCAACAATGGATAGATAATATGTAACACACATTTTATCATAATTTTGTTTAGACCTTTTATTTATGTAGACCCTCAATTTAGGATCTGTAACAATATGTTGATAATATGTTTAACAGATTTTATGGTTATTTTTTATATAAAAATTTATATATAATCCATTTAATAATGAATCTACTCATGTACAAAATAACATAAATACAAAAAGTAATAAAATACAATGAAAAAAAAATAAATTCATTTTTTTTTGATTTTATTTAATAAATAATTAATCAAATTAAATATTTGTTTAGAATAACATTCAATAAATAAAACAGAAAGAAACAATTTATTCATTAAATGTTATTACGTTTTTAATTTACATTATTTTGTTAATTGTTATTCATTGCGTTTAATTTAGCTAACCATTAATCATATTTAATATACATTTTGGAAAATATTAAATAATAATACAATCATACACATACTTTAGATGATTCTAAAAAGTTTTATAGTGGAATAAAAATACAAAAGCATGACCAAGCCATCGTTGACGTAGGTATCTGAGTCGCTAAGTTACACGGCGAAAATTAGAAACTTCATGTGATAAAAACGTGTATTCTGCGGATAATCAGCTCAATTAGAATGTTGAATAACATACCAAAGTACTTTATTCGGGGTAGTAGGAGACTTGCTATAGGCGTCGTAAAACGATAAGAAACTCATCTCCGCTAGTAAGACCAAATAATGAGAAGACCAAAGTAATATGTGATAAGATAAATATTGCAGTTGAGGTAGATAAAGAGAGCGCCAGAAATTTGACTCAAATTTAAAGTATATTAAAAACAAAATGTGATATATGAGTGTGAACAAAATCACAACTCAAGATCGTGTGATTTGAAGATAACGGATAAGAAAAACTGCGGTGAAATAGGCAAAAGCTGGTGAAAATAAGAAGAAGGAGCAAAAATTTTGAATAAAACTTAAATGCATCACTTTGTAAAAAGTGGATCTGCATTGAATCGTCTTTAAAGTTTTACTCTCCATGAATTTCACAAAACCACAATTCCATTAAGTATAACCTCTAATTACAGCAGTTTGGAGTCAGCAAAGATTATAAGAATTTTGATTTTATTCTGATGGAATCGAAGACAGCATCACTTTGGCTTTCCTAGTTCGTTATATATTACTTAGCTTTAACAAAAGTTTATAAAATAATATTAAATTTTGCTCTTCCCGCAACTTTCAGTGGAGTTAGGAAGAAAGAATGTTTAGCCAATGTAGTTTTATGACTATAATAAGCTCCATTTTCTTGGATTAATCACAATATCACAATTCCTAACTAATTTATTCAGAATATAAAAATTTTTATTCTAAAATTCCAGGAATATTTACAAACTAGAAGTTTTTTTTTATATATATAATTATTATTATTATTATTGCAGTTATTATCTAAGGGAAAAAATTCTGTGGTCTGTTCATTTTGTGAGAAGCTCCGTTTGTTTATTCTAACTTATTTATTTAACATTACTTATACTTATTTAACATTATTCTTAAATTTCCGGTTATTTACTAGTTTACTTGGGAAATTTTTTTTATTAATATATTATTATGTCGGTTATTATCCAATTTCATAGAGCAATATGTAGGGTATATAAATAGTTTCTTTCATTTTCAAACTGTGTTCACATACTATGGTATATTCAGGTCGTTGTCTCAAGTCTGTAGTGGCCGAAGTTTATTGTTCTTACTCTAAATGCCAGCATAGAGTCGAGTCACTGCATTTATTTTAGGCCGTGATCACTTATTCCATTTAATTTTTTGTAATTAGTAATAAGAGAAAAAAATTAAATATTTATTTGTTAATGGAAATGTTTACGACTAGCACGTATAATAATAATTAAGTTTATTGGCGTTTATTTCCCGTTGTTCTACAGTCTCCCAAAGTCGAAATTTTCAATTAGTAACAATCTTCGTTGCAATAAAATAACTATTGTTAGACATATTATTAGATGTTTATAATTATTTTAAATTAATGACTTTTAACAGTCTCTTGTACATATTATAGTTATTTATTATCTAATTTATTAGTGAACATATATTTACAATAATATTCAACAATAATCATTAAAAAAAAATTAAAATTAAGTGTTATACTAAATGCACTTAATTATATACACTAATATATATATAATACTAAATTACACAAAATATCAAAAATAAAAATACATATATCTATTCAGATATCTAAAACTGTTTACGCGTTATATATCAAAACTGCTAATTATAATTCTAGATTAAAGTACTTATAGATCTACTAAACAAAATTTGAACCCTGCTTAATATTATTCATTAATATTGTAGTCATATACAAAATATATTTTTATTTTGTTCAATCTTATGAAGCACTTAACATTATGCATAATCTTATCAAAAAACAAAGAGTTTTACAATATTTTATTTGAGTTCCAAATCAATGCCACAAATCTTAATCAAATCTTATGCTTTCAACGTGTAGAAACCTAATTCCATTACCGATAACATAAATTTTAGATCGTAAATATTGATAAAACCTATTATACGTAACAACCTAAGACTAAAAGTAGCTATTTAAATTATTACTATAATAATGTTTTATTATCTTTTCCGATTTAATAATTTTATTTCCCTTGTTTCTCTTATTCTATAGTTGGAGCACCGTAAAAACTATAACGATGATACTGAGGAACGTTTCCGTTTTAAAATCTTCAATGAGAACAAACACAAAATTGCTAAACATAACCAATTGTTTGCCTCCGGTAAGAAGTCCTACAAATTGGCTCTGAATAAATATGCTGATATGCTTCATCACGAATTCAAGGAAACCATGAACGGATACAATAACACATTACGTAAATTGTTAAGGTAACTAATATTATATCTATTTACTTTTAATAAAAAGAAAAATTAATAGAAAATTTATTCTTTATCATTAGAGCACAAAGTGTTGAATTCACTGGAGTCACTTTCATAGCACCTGCACATGTCACAGTACCCACATCCGTTGATTGGAGAACCAAAGGTGCTGTTACTGCTGTTAAAGATCAAGGTAAATATTTTTTAAAAATTACTGTCATATATAACAGAAATAGTAGTTAGTTGTATCCACAATAACGAGTAACGGAGCTCGGTAACTAAGTAAGATGATAAAAATATTCCAATCCAAATTTTCCAAATTTCACAAATGTAAATCCAAAATCATGGGTGTCGATGTCGAGAGTATAGTGCCATATTGCAATTTTGTCTAGTCGATTGAATCCTTACAATAATGTGCTGAAAGCTCTCGCATATATTACTTATCAGCTTATACTGCTTCAGTATAAACAATACACAAACATGTCAAATCGGAAAGCTTTGGAAATTTCTACCGATTGTCATCGCATATCGCATGGAAAATTCGGAAATTTTGCTTATAACGGTACATAATCAACTATTATTTAAGTAATACCTACTTACGTACCACACAGGTGGACATTGTAATGACAACGTGATCAGTAGAACCCTCGTTGCATGTTAAATCCGTCAATCTCCTTGTTTTCCTATTAACAATACAGTTACACCTATTAAAATCAGGTTAATATTAGTTTGGTTGTGTACAAATGAGGGTTAACAGTCTTTCATATAGGTCCCCTTCGACACAATCGTTGCACATCAATAAAACTCTCTACAGACCTACGCTGGATATTCTTAGGGAACAAAAATACCTTCCGCGGCAAGAACTGTCCTAGCCGCGTTGTCATCCCTCTCTTATCTCAAACAATCCCTCTTCTTACTCTACCCTCATCCAATCATATCCTAGCCAATATATTATTGTAATTCTTTTCATGTTTTCTGCTATATAGATCTTCACAGGTTACAACAATCCTGTACCTTGATTACCGAGCTCAGTACTGAAGATTATGAATTCCACTATGCTTATTTTTTATTACACTTTATAGTTATCCACCTCAAATATATTAATTTTATATATGTATTCCATATATATAATTTATATATAATATTTTATATATATCTTATTCTTTATTATATATTTTTTTTCTATTTTAGGCCATTGTGGTTCTTGTTGGTCATTTTCTTCTACTGGCGCTTTGGAAGGTCAACATTTCCGTAAGACTAATGTACTTGTGTCGCTTTCTGAACAAAATCTTGTTGATTGTTCTAGCAAGTACGGTAACAATGGTTGTAACGGTGGGCTTATGGATAATGCTTTCCGTTATATCAAAGATAATGGTGGCATTGATACTGAAAAATCATACCCTTACGAAGGAATTGATGACACATGTCATTTCGATAAAGCATCAGTTGGCGCTACAGATCGCGGTTTCGTTGACATACCCCAGGGTGATGAGGACAAAATGAAACAAGCACTTGCAACAATCGGACCAATATCTGTTGCTATTGACGCCTCACATGAATCATTCCAATTCTATTCTGCTGGTGTTTATGATGAACCAACATGTGATCCTGAACAATTAGATCATGGTGTTTTAGCTGTTGGTTATGGCACTGATGCTGATGGTCAAGATTACTGGTTGGTCAAAAATTCATGGGGTACCACATGGGGAGATAAGGGTTATATTAAGATGTCACGTAACAAGGACAATCAATGCGGTATTGCCACTGCCTCAAGTTATCCACTTGTTTAAATTTTTCTTATTTTCACAAATATTATACTTTTGAATTTTAATTTTTTTTTATTGTTTAAATATTATATGAATGTATATGTATATCTTTTTTCTATAATCAAGTTAATTATATAAATAATGTTAGACAAAAGTATCTCATTCCTATTGTAATTCATTGACGTATGTAATTAAATTTCTTTTTATTTTTAATTTATAATTTGTGTAATATTTTTATAATTTTTATGTTGTACGAATACTAAACGAATTTTAATAGATTTCATAGCATTACGCATGGAGACTGTAAAATAATTAATATAAAATAAAAATCTATAAAAATTTACAAATCGATTATTTGATTTATAACGTATTAAATATCTTATTGATTTAGATATTATAATATATATAATATATATATATTGATTTTATTGATTATAACTTTTAATTATTCTTCTTCTTTCTGATATGATAATCCAGTGTGCAACATTACTTAAGTATGCCTTAAGTACAGTGATTCCTATTCCTTTACAGTGATTTTTTTCAAAATATGGTCAGAAAGGTCGTTTGTCAAATTTTTAACCGTGATGAAAGATTTTTTTTCACTTTCATGAAGTTAGCTGCTTTCCTATAGTCACTCACCCATTTTATATCAGTTGTGGGCCTTAGGCTTAACTATCTAAAAGCCTGGCTCCCAGATTCTTAACTTTTACAGAAAACTTGTTTCCACTTTTATAAAGCAAATCGCTTTCGCCTAGTCATACTCTCGCTATAAGCTATAAGATTTTAGAGCTTAAGTTTACATCTTGCCAGATTTATTTTAGTTTTAATAAAGTGAGCGATTTGCCTCAAGTCCTATATTTGCTGTAATTACATAAACAGGCGCCAGGTTTTAATTTGAAAATGTGGTTTTCTTTACTCGGTCTCTGGTTTGCGTGAGGTGATTTATTTTTCTTCTACCACCCATCTCTAGTGGGTATTCGACTGTCCATATTCTTTGGATGTGCCCACTAGACATACTAATAAATAAAGTGTTATACAAGTGCTATTATTATTCAAGTTTTACAACTGCATTTAATCACATAAATATATAAACAATTGGAAATCAGGAGAAATTTATAGTGCCTTATAAACAGTGACATGGGAAATACACACCTTACATAAGACATATAACAACTTCTCTCATTCAGCGTCCATTGGGGAGCCAACACATGCAAGATGTGATAAAACACCTCATACTACATGGAAAATGAAAGACCTTACTGAAAGTTACAAGAGGATTATGGAACTATAATCAATAACACGTAACGACAAATATCAAAACGAACACGTACCTGTTGGTATAAACCATTTTAGGAGTTGTGAATGCTACTTGGTCGTTGCAGTTGAAGAGTTGCCTGGGTAATTCTGGAACATCTCACTACACGCTTCTCTTAGTCAAATCTTTTGTCAAAACCTTAAGCTCCAATAAAAGTTAATATGGAATAAATAACCACTTGAATTCGATCAAAATGTTCAGCGTACAGAGCATTGATGCACGATTTTCTTACTCTTGACGATGCTAGTACCAAGCAAAATTGTCAAGCAATGTATAAAAACCATACATATGATTCTATATCATATCGAAATTACAGAAATATATATATATATATTATATATATTAAATTAAAAAAAGGAAAGCCTTACCAGTGTATATATTTTGTATTTATATACTATAATTTTATTATATTAAAAAAAAATTATTAACAAAAAGGTAAAATTTTTAGTATCATTTAAATTTATATACTATAATTTTATTATATTAGCAATACATAAATTATTTAAATAATATTTAACAACAAGACCGTTAATATCGAAAAACATACATATTAATTTGGAAAAATTTCTTTGGATTTGTGCAGTGCTTATTTTTTTCATTGCTTGACAATTATAATTAATGTCTTACATTTTTATTATAAATTTTCATTTTTTATATATATTTTAATATTTACAACTAAATTATAAAAATCGTATCCTATTTTGCCAATAAATGTAACTAGCTTGCTTTTAAAATTAATTTTTAATCATTTAAAATTTTTAATACAAAATAACAGTCTTATACACAAATTAACAATTTTAATTATTAATATAATTACGATTGACTAAGTCAATGGTACAATAGGCATTCATTAATGATAATTTTTCTAATAAATATATAATTTACTTATTCATTAACTTAGGTCCACGGGAAGTTATTGCTGAATAGTATGGCGCCCAGTACATAATAAATTCCGAACCACTGCACTATTAATCCTATCTTTGAGCGAAATCTGATTTGGTCGAACGTTTTTGGCATATAATCTGCTGCAAACCAATATATACAAGGTGTTGACGAGCAGAGTAATCGCGTGGATACTTGTATGTGTACAAAAAATAGGCAAAAGCAACTCAGGAATAAAGCCTCCAAAACAAATGGCAAAGACTTGTATTCCTTCACTATATATAATAGTGAATATTTGGGCAATAATATTTTACAAAGATGCTTTAAATACACATAACAGTGGTAGCACAGAAAACTCAATATGGGAAGAGCCAGCATAAAATTTGGTAATTGCTTTATTTCGTAGTAGCGGAGAAAGCCCACTTTCCAGTAATGAGATTGTACATACGAGTATGGATATGGTATAGATTGATCACACCATGGTGATTCGTTTGGCAGTCGCGTTCCGACTAAAACATAATTCCGCTCATGTGCATAGTCCACAATCTCTTGTGGATATCTAGTGATTTTATGTGACGTACAAAACTGTTGATATGCGTAACAAAAGAAAAATGTTAAAGGTATCAGTGCCGTTATTCCGTGAATAAATATTTTTACAACTGTCCAAACATAACTCTTCGAATACACAATACAATCGCGCAACATAAAATATACCAGAAATCCCACATTGATGAAGCCATTGGAGCGAGTTACTATTGATAAACCCAAAATGATTGTAGCTAATCCAAAGCGTGTTCTTGTTGCATAGCCCAGCATAACTTCCAACGTTAACCAGCAAAATAATGATTCCGAATAAGTGGCGGTAAAAAACATTGAAGCTGGATTAAAACAAAATAATAATGCTGCATTCCAGCTTTTGTTAGAATCATTAAATATTCGTTGTGTTAATGCATAAAGTACATTTGCCGCCTTACAAAAACAATATATATTGATCAGCACACCTACGAGCAACGTCCAACTACGCGCCGACAAATGTAGTGGCAGGTAATCACAGCTGCTTGCAAGGATATTAATTGTGACTGGATAGAGAGGATAAAATGCCAGCGTATTTTCATAGGTATAACCATGTTCCGCAATATGAAGAAAATATTCGCCATCCCAATGTCGCAAACCACCTAAACAAGTTTGCACGGTTTTATCCAGCCAATTCGTAACTCTGGTTTCATTATTATTGTGGAGTATTGGTGCACGAAAAACATCTGGTTTATGATCCGACAGTATTAAATTAGTCAGCAACTGCAACGTCAACAAAATGACTCGACTTGAAATTGCCAATTTAGTCACTTTTTCGGTCATAGTTTTGCATATTTAAATTTGTAAAACCAAATAAATAATTTTTCTTTTATGCTGGAATTAAATAATTAAAAGTTTTACTAGCATTTGTTTTAAGCATACGTTTATCAAAAAGAAAAATAATACTTATGAAAAATGTATCTAATGTAAATAATATGTCATTATAGAAATTATTTAGATTTTAGGAAAACAACTCACAAATGAAAAATTTGAAAAATTTAAAGATTTCGAAAAAAAATTGATATTTTATTATTTTACATATATCCAACATTCATCTTACGTCAACCACCAAAACTTCTAACAGATAACCGGCACAACAAAACGGATGCATCAGTGTTTGTGCGAATTATGCAGGTGGCCATCAGCTGATCTCGTCTGAATGACATTGAGATATGCAAAAATAAAACCAGTGTCGAAAAACGCTATTCTATGCAGATATAAACAAAAACTGTCCAACCTATAAAATTTTGTGTATATATAATTCATAATAACAGTTTATATATAAAACAATATACATTATATTTAAATATTGCTGGTAACGCGTAAATAGACTCTATCATATTATGGTAAAGCACTTCTCGTACATATATATATCAAACTATCAAACAATTATTTTAAGTTTAAAAAGTGTATGTGCATTCAGATACTCATATGAAAATACAATACATAACATATGTATAAAAATAATAAAAATAAAAGTAAAGTAAGTAAGCAAAATACATTCTCATTATACTATTATGTTACGCATATTTTCTTTGCTGTACACAGTACTAAAATGAGTTATACAGACAGTCATATCATCAATGCTTACAAAAATTTTACGATATTTTTAATTATGACCAAAAGGCATATTATTCAGAAAGCCATATAAGAATTGTCAATTTCCTACCTTTATTACTATTTAATTGCTTTTCTTGTGTTTAAATATAAAAGCTAATGTGTTTATGTGCTTACATATCCACACAAAAATACACATTTACTTCTAATAAGCGCAAAATATATTTTTTACAAATATTTAATATATTTAGCAGTTGAAAAACACGGTAAAGGACGTCCGCATCTTTGACCGAAGGACCAGGTGACCAACGACTTGTGGGCGCTCGGTTCTACCAGCTGGCGAAAGCAAGCCACTTATTGGGCTGGCTGGTGGAGGTTCTTGACGCGGTCAAAAACAAGTCATCATTTATTTTACGATAATATGTATCATTATATCTTATGTGATGATTAATTACAAATCATTACTTATGCTGATTGAAAAAGTGATAAACATGTGTGAACAAAAACATAAGTGCTTTGCCTCCAAACACTATTTTTAAAAATTTGCTAAAAAATAATTAAATGTATTATAATCCATTGCAAATTACGAACGTTTTTCTTATAATTCATATTATATTAACTGTATTAAAAAAAATTATTCATTGAATATATATAATAAAAACTTCTGCTTTATAACACTACAAAAAATCTTGACCCACTACGAAGAGACGTCACCTTTTTTTTTTTGTTTTCGCGGGTTATAAATTAAAATCATTTAAAATTGATTAAAAATTTAAAGAAATCATGTTTACTTCAAGCATATGCTCTGGATATGAGTTAGTTTTAGGAGAAATGGCCCACAAAAGGCCCTTTCTCGATAATTTGGATGCGAATATATTACCTTGCGGTGGTCTTAAACCCAAATCTCTTGTGGAAATATCAGGTGCTTCTAATACAGGCAAGAGTTTAGTGCTCAATCAATTAATAGCACGCTGCTTACCGCCTACCTACTTTGGTGGAAAATATTGTGATGCTATTTTAATTGATCTTGGCCATAAGTTTTCTGTTCAACATTTTGAAAAGCTTGTCACACGCGTCATAAATGAATCTGGAGAAAAATGTACACCAGCCGAGAACATAACAGTGATTCATAATTGCTTAAACTCAGTTACAGCGCTTAACTGTTATACTGCAGAAGATTTCGATTTAGCCTTCGATATAGTTGAAGATATTTTATGGGAGAATCAAAATGTTTCATTATTAGCAATAGACACTTTGGATGCCTTTTATTGGGCAGATACGCATAAAAAACTCGTCCGAATGACCACACATTACAATAAATTAGTAACTAAACTGAAGCAACTATGTGAAAAGCATAACATTTGTTGCATCTACACGGTGGATATAAATTATATTGAGCCAAAA